TACTCCTGTCGTCTCACTCATTTTTAGACTGTAAATAAAATGGCTATATTTGCATCGTAGACATTACGACCCCTGATTCCTATCATCACTACAGAGTCTGTTTCCAGACTGAGCCATTTCACATCAAACCACTCTGAATGATTGTGTTTACATCTTAACTATTATGTAGACACGTATTAACATCAGTGTAATTCCCCTTTAGGTTTGCTTAGATTGGAAAGTCCTTTGGAAATCATTGTTGTCCATCATCATCATTCTTGTTTCTGTGTTGTTGACTATTGGTTGTGACGCTGCAAATTTAGACAGGGGCGAAGTGCATTTGTGTTTTGCCTGGAGCGGCACAATGTCCTGCACTTTGTTCTGTTCGGACAGCGTCTGTTGTTTTTGCAAACAGTGAAGATGGAGCTGTGGCCGGAGGCCTGATGAACTGATGAACTGAGGAGGGCGACGAGGGCATGCAGGGTGACAGAAAGGTTGTGACGTGGGCTGAGGTGGATGGGAGCTAAACTTTCCCTTCTTCTCTCGCTCTCTCCCTCTTACCCCCAGTCTTCGGTTCACAGGATTAGACAGATCAGAGGAGCAGCTGCCAGTCTTTTGGCTGTCTCTTACTGCACTCATCAAGGCCTCTCTCAGCCGAGTGCACCGTGACACGGCATTGTTTTGCGACATCGCTCCGCACTCGGCTGCCTTGCCTCAGGCCAGGCAAGATCTATGGATCACTGAGCAGCACAGATCACGCCTCGACACAGTGAGATTGGATCCTCAAGGGTCATGTTATTGTGAGAGGCATGGGCGAGACCATCAGCAGCGGACTTAAAATAAATCTTCGCTCTCGCACTTTCCTCAGCGCCACACTCTAATTCAGTCATCCATTTGGGCCAAGTGACAATAACTTGGCATGGAGGCATAAACATCAAGAATACAGTCTGCCATACATCCTAATTATATTGGAGGCGAAGTGACATTAAGGGTACATAGATTCAGTTTGGGGTTTAATTACTATGCACTTAAAACATAGCTGTCAAATTAATTATCGACAATCGTGACGGTGAGAATTGATGAAAGGTGTAATAATTGGGCAAGAATTGCTTTGCGTTCTTGAGTAATAGGACTTTAATGCGTTCTGTATTTGACATGTAACATTGCGAAATATTACACTTTCAAATAGTTATTCTTTACAGCACCCTAATGGATAGATGTAAAACCATAAAGCTGTAAAAAGTACATCTCCATAGGAGATGTGCCATAAAATATAGGGATGTTATTTCAAGATGCCATTCGTGAATCATCTTCCAATATGGAGTCATGTGTAAATGTCAGAGGCAACCCTTTGTTGATTTCATTTCCAGTCAAAATGACCTAGAAGTACAAGTTACACAGAACCTCAACAAGCTTAATATAATATCAGATTTTCCCGTATTTATTGTGTCCACAATTTGTCTTCATTGAAGCTCCCATTCTTTTCAAGAGACCTAAATTCAGATTTTCAAGGAAACCTGCAGGGAAATTTTTCCACACCTCCAGAGCTCAGTCTTTGGTTGAATGTTATGCTTCTCAAAATCCCAGTAACTCCAAACACATTGAATTATGTTGAGGTCTGGATTTGAGTACAAGCCATTGAGTACAAGTTGTTCATCTTTCTAGAGGTATTTTTGAGAGGAATTCATTCACTCGCATAAGAAAAAGAAAAGTCAAATGTGAAAAACACCTGCAGTTTCCAAAACTGGAGTTGAAAAACAGTAAAGGTGTAGAGAAAATGGGACCATGCAAGACCTGGTAGACCACCAAAACCCCATCAGAAAAAAAAAGTGTACTTAAAGTTGTCACTTTTGAGAGAGAGAGGAGAAAATCAAGCTCCACTCTTGCTTCAGATCTAAAAAAAAGGTTTCTGTCCATCCTTCCACTGTAATAAGAAAACCCAACACTATGAGTCTGAAAGGATGTGTAGCTGTCAAAAAGCCCTTACTGAGAAAAGAAAACAGGCAAAAAAGATAAAAACCCCACAGTCCAGACCTCGACATCATTCAATGTGTTTGGAATTTCTGGGATTTTGAGAAGCTTAAAGTTTAACCAGTTTCTAAGACTGAACTCTGGAGGTGTTCATATCCCTGCTGGTTTCCTTGAATGACTGAATGTAGGTCTCCTGAAAAGAATGGAAGCTGTAATGAAGGCAATTGGTGGACACAATGAATACTGGAAAATCTGATACTATATATAGCTGCTGAGGTTCTGTGTCACTTGTACTTCTAGGTCATTTTTACTGGAAATATAAATAAAAGGTGGTGTCTGACTTTTGCACTGCACTGTAAGTTTTAGCTTAGGTCACTGCTTAGCACTGTCATCATCTGTTGTCTTTGTAAGATGTTACATCTCCAAGCGTTTTAAGCTCTTTGAAAAACTTTGAGTGGTTAAAATTCTATAAAAGGGCTGAAAAGAAATCAGTCGTCAAATATCATACACCAGGTTTGAAAGCGTTTTGAGTGCAGTGGGTTGGAAGAGTTCATTTGAAGTGTGATTTTTATCTATTGACATGGTCCATCACAATGAGTGAGACATCAAAATGTTCAGGGGAATGAGAGCTTCCAGAAGAACTTTGAATCTGCTAAAGCACTGTAGTGAAATGAACTATCGTACTGGGTTTGAATTCACCGGAGAGGATGGTGAGAAGGTTTTCTCTTCTTTAAATGGTGATAACTATCGATTGACATGGTGTAAAGTCGCAGGAGAGCTGTAATTACATTCAGGAAAACTAAGCTTTCACACGCATTGAATGAGCAAGGTTAAGCCGTTAGGGAGAAAATCATTTAAAGGCATTATTAGGGTGTCTCATATCCTGATAACCAGCCGCTAGTCAGGGAGCTCCAGAGTGGAGCAGCTGTCTGACCCTGATTTCACACCAGACGCGACATGTTAGCATCATGTACGTGTAGCGCAAGTGAAGCATAAGTGACGATCTATCCAATCCACACTTTCCACAATTCCATCATGTAACTGCTACAGGTGGGAATATCAGCTTATATTTTTCTTCCTTTCTCTTCCAATTACACTGTTTTACTGCAGGTTTAATTAAAATGTGATAATACAAACAAACAGCTGATCTGTTTGTTTTGACAAAATCACAAGTTTCTATCTCAGTCGTCGTCAAGTAAAAGGCCTATCGATCAAACACTGTTACTACATTACTATAGTTACTCTGCAATTACTAGGGCAACAAGATCAAAACATTGCAGTTGATTATCATTTTAAATATAGATTACAACCCAACAAGAAAGTGGGAGGGAGTGATTTAATGGATCTCAGTTTATGCATCACATGCGCAAGCAAAATAAATTACACCAGCTTCCAGCAGCATAGAATGGCTTGTACTTTAACAAGAAAAAGATGTCATATTGTGAACTGAATTGACCTTAAGGTTTCACCCCGTCATTGGGAGACTGATAGTTTGAGATATCTTTTCTCAAAAAAGGCCCTGAAAATACAGGATATCAGGGGCTCTATTATTTCTAAAATACTGTTGTACATTTAAGACACCCCCAATAGTATCCTTACTTATGTTTCTGTTTCTAACATGCTACCATTACCATTTTTATGTGACTGTAACATGGAGACATATCTGCTCTGTCAGATGGGCAATGTAAATATTTCAGACACACTTTTTGTGTGAACTGGTCTTAAATGAATGCTTCATTGAATTTAGATCAGATTTACACAGTTTTCCACTTACCTCAGATATAGTTATCAGTCAAGACATGTTTGGTGTACAAATTTGCATCTGTAGTTTAGCACTGGAGCTACAATGCTATTGTTGCAGACAAACATTAGAAGTCAATAGTCACCCAAATCTTTTCAGTAAATACATCTGCAAAACCTCAATCTGCTCAAACCACATCAAGGGTCATGCAGACTTACTGTCAACTGTAAAAATGAACAAAACTTCACCACGTGCCTGAACACTATTTTAGACAATATGTGCTGAAATACAACCCCCAACTCATGGACGTGCATCACACAGGCATATGGACATATAGACCTCTTTAAAAAACTGTGTTGCTTCTACTTATAGTCTTCTGTAAAAGTCTGCCCACCCCTGGTCAGACGATTTGTTTTGCTGATTATTTAAGTGAAAAAAAAGTTATTCATGAAGAGAGACAACTGTGAACATAATCACTAGCATCCATTTGCCTGAGTGATGTGGGCACATGTGATCGGGTGCAGAATTCAGCAATGCCTGTTGACTAAAATGGCTGCCCTGGTGAGGTTTTGTTCCTTTTTATTAGGCACTGTAAGCCATATTGAGCTCGAAACCGCAGTGAAAAGTCTGCATGACCTTCATAAAGACCCAGATGCAGTTTGAGCAGGTTAAGAGAAGTTTTGGGGATGTAGTTATAGAAAAGATTTCGGTGACTATTGACTTCTAGTGCTTGCAAGCAACGTTAGCCTTGTAGCTCCAGCGCTAAGATAAAGAAGCAAAAAAAAAAAAACACCAAACATGTCTTGGCTGACAAATTACATGTGGGGTAAGTGGATAATTGTGTTAATTTGCTTGTTCAGTATTCCTTTAAAGTTTTACCCTATGATTAGAAGATCGCTACTTTCAACGCTGACAATGCCTCATCCATCTGTGCTAGGAGTACAAGACAGCTTAACTAACTGTGTGGTGGGAAAGAGGGTCTTATTTCCCTCTCCCTCTATCATTAAATGATGGCAAAATCCTATTCAGCCTTATAAGAATAGAGCAGGCCTTTTGGTCAGAATACATACATTTAAAGTCTGTTTTATTTTGCATGTTTGTGAAAAAGTCTTCTTTTCTGTAATTGAGGTTTTAGGGATAAATATGATGGGCTGATCGTTTCACTATAAAATCCAAACTTTTTTGAGATATACTTTTTTTAAACAGTGTTTTCAGCCAGAGCTCCCGACCAGTGAGAAAGATACTGCAGCAGTCTCACTTGAGTTGGTCTTGTTCTTTTCTGAAAGACCTTCTAACCTCAGTTCCTTACCTCTGCGGCGCTGCTGAGGCTGTCCTTGTTCTCACTGGCCCTCACCAGCAGCAGGTAACGGTGCTGGTCGGTCTCGTAGTCGATGCTGCGCGTGAGGCTGATCTCACCGGTCTCCTGCTGGATGCTGAACAGGCTGCTGGGGTTGATCAGCAAGCTGTAGCTGATCGGCTGCTTCTGGAAGGACAGAGCCGGAGTGACCAGGAAGCTGGAGGGGGAAACAGAGCGAGGCAGTGTAAAGAGAACGCAGGTTCAAAGTGACAACACGGTGAGATGAAAGTGTGGATGAGCATGCTGTCTTATAAAATCAAACTGATGTGTTTGCATAAAAGAAAAACTGTTTTGCCAATGACAAAAGCAGATTGAAGATAAAAATGTCACTGCAGTGCTTCAGTGCTTCAAGTAGCAAGTAGTAGGTACAGATCACACAGAGTTTGACATGGACGTGTATATATATATATATATATATATATATATATATATATATGTGTGTGTGTGTGTGTGTGTGTGTGTGTGTGCTGTGTGTGTAGTTGCTGTCATAATAAAACCTTGTCTTGGCATGATAAAGCCTTTAGTTGCTCATTAACCAGCTTCTTATTACCTCTTTATTAAGCAATAACTAGGGTGAATTAAGCATTTTCAGGAGCAATAATTTGTGCATTATATATCATCATTTTATGCACAATTCTTACCGAAGCACTGGGTCGATAATGTACCCTCTGACTCATGTTAAAACCTCAATTAGAAATCAACAATTAGCTTGAATTACAAACTGACCCTTTATTCATAAATAATAAACAATATTAATACAGGCCTTATAAAGGCTCAAATTACATATTTTACTCATCTCATTTCATAAAATTAAGCTTTTTATTGCTATTGTTTATTTTCATTGCTACCTGTACTGTTATTTTTAAAATGGTTTTATTTACATTGGTGTCCACCCAATCTCAAGGGCAGATGGCATTTTCAAATGGTGTAAAAAATAACAATAAATTAAAAATAATAATAAAACATGAATAAGTCGAGTAGCAGGGTTTTGATATGACAGTGGCAATATGTAACTACTTATATGTAATTAGAATTTAAGCTTAACCTGAATGACTAAAACTTTAGGACATTTTTGTCCTGAAAGTGTACAAAAACAACCACACACACACACATAAACATCAGTAATACGGTAACTGAGCCCAAAAGAAACCGGATTTTTGTAGACCAGTCTTGGCTGGGGACACTCTGTCTTAATCACTGCAGGCCTGTGGGCATGACTGTAGCCCACAATCCGCATTTCCTTCATTAGATTATTGTCTGAGCCAATCACAGTGTGCAGAGTACAGCTGGAGCTATGAGAGACAGCAGGCTGGTGATGAAGGAGCTGACGCTCCACAGCCTGATCAGCCACCAGCCACACACAGCTCATCACTTACAATTCACTGACAGGAGGAGGCAGAGTGATGGAGAAGAGATGGAGGGAAAGAAATTAGGGATGCCAAGTTACAGGGACAAGAATGAGTTACACATACATATATAGAGACTCCATGCAGAGTTCACAAATTTAGTACCTGATTCCTTATTGAGAATTTTGAGCAATTTTGGAGGAACATGGCCATGTCTAACCGAGTAGGCAGTGAATTAATGTGTAACATAGGCTAATCTATATAAATCTAGAACTCTTACATTATTACTTCTATGTAACAGAGATGTCTATAAGTCACTTCATGCAAGTTCATGCGAGTCCCTAGGGTGCGAGTCCAATTTGAGTCTGCAGTCTTGGGTGAGAGTGTGAGTCTTGTGTCAAGTTTTTAGTGCAGAATTTTAGTTCAGTCTCATTATAAGCTCTAGGTACTGCACTGTACAAAGTAAACCCAAGTAAAAACCTGTCAGGTTCAGTACAGCTTCAAATAATGAGCCTTTCATTATAGAGAAACCTTCAGCCTGAAGGACAGAATGAAGCATGCAGTAAATGTGCTGTTTAAAGGAAAGACACAAAACAACTTGAAGCGGTTAATCCGTTTGTATAGCAAAGCTAATCCAGCTGCAGGTTTAGTAAGTTTTAAAAGAAGCTAGCAATCTGTTTCAAGTTGAAGCTTACAACTTCATGTCTAAAATTGAACAAAATAATTGCAAAATGTAGTTGTATAGTGCGCAGACTCGAATCTGTCGATGCAGAATATGAATAGAATTAATTAAATTTCCATTTCATTTGAATTCTGTATTGACAGTTTGGAGTCTTGGACTTCTTTAAAACCAAGAAAAACATGTAAAGGAAAGCAAGAGGAGTAACTCTTTAAATCTAAATCATAATAAAATATTTCCTCTTTTGCTTACATAGATAAATGTGGTATGGATTGAAAGTGGAGGATCCACAATTTCTGCTGAATTTCTTCTTTCACTGGTCAAATAAATGGAATGGAGACTCTGGAGGTGTGGCTAGGCAGATAACCACAAGCAAAGGCTCATAGTGGCACGTGCCCTCCAACAAATGGACTTATTTGTGTCGTTTCCTGTTGGTGGTTACTTTAGTGTGTATATATGTGTTTATTGTGTTGTTGTGTCAGGCTGTTAGTTGGGGTTTTTGTGTGTGTGCGGTGGTGGGGGTCATGGTCAGGGTGAAGTGCGTGGCTAGTGGTGACCTCCTGCTTGAGTTTGGTGTTCTGTATGTGTCTCTTTCTGCTGGTGTGCTCAATAAAAAGCACTGGTTATGGCAGAATAATGGTTTCTTCTTCTGCCAACACTACAATATGTTTATTATTGCAAGACAAAATGATCCAAACACATAATTAATCCCTGGATTTTGAGTTTTAACCTTTTTTTTTAAATGAATAGCATATTTTGTACTAAATGCTGGCATTCATTATTAAGAAGTCACCTGACCACTAATTTGCTGCTAGCCCATTATTTCCCAGGTATAGAGTGCCTGGGGGATCTCCATGGTACGCCACTGCATATTAAACGGCCGATTTTGCATGGATTTTGCATTTTAAAGGGAGTTGGGGGAGATGGGGTTCAGGAGTAATGGTGTAAGTCAGATAATATGTGTGACACATGAGCAGGGAGGCAAAATGCTGGAAGAAACATAGTGTGGGCTGCTAAAGACGATGGATATTTCATCCACCATACAAACAGTTTACTCTGATAAATGAAGTCTAAGAAGACATATTTTGAACGTAATGGCTTCCAGGTTGTCGTAAATCAGCTGGCGGTGTAGGTGGTCTGTTTATCCATCTGACAGACGGCTACAAATCAGCTTGCGTGTAGCGTGGCGAAAAGTTCGTATGCGTTTCCAGCATTCCTAATACAGAGAATACGCAAGGGACTGACTGCGAAACTAAAGTAGACAAAGTACACCGAGGTAGAAAATGACTATTTGCCACTTCTGGAAAAAGGACCTGTTGAAAAAACACATTATGAATTCACCTAAAGAAAATTGTAGAGCTTCTCGATTTCCACTCCAGAGCCGGTAATACACCGCTGCCCCGCGAGAGGATGCGTGATGAGAACGACAATGCCGAATTAGTGTGTGTCATGCATGTTTAATGCTCCTCATCACACACAGCCACACACACGGCGGGTGAGCTAATGACTTCTGCATGTAATCCATCGCTCGTAGACCGCACGCTCCAGCGGGCAGGGCCGAGTTCACCACAGGGGCAGGAATGAGCATGTGACCGCTGTGGCAATGTTGTATTTGTATATTTGCGACAAAGTAAACAATAGCAGTTCACCCAGCATGGGAGATTTACTATGCATAAGGTTGAGTTATGCAAGTAGATTAGTTTAGGTTAGAGTGTGTGTTGGTGTGTGTGTGTGGTGAGGTGTCTTTTAGGGGTATATCTCTATCTTTTTCCTGAATCTTTGTGTTTAATGCTCAAAATATCTTTATCTGCAATAGAATTTGACCCAGAAGTGGGTGGGATGCAGGGAGGTGGGAAGTTGGGGTGGTAAGGGGGCTGCGTCCACTTTATTAAGTACACTTTCTTGTTTCTGTACTGTCCATTTTATTAGCTCCGCTTACCATATAGGAGCACTTTGTAGTTCTACAATTACAGACTGTAGTCCATCTGTTTCTCTGCATACTTTGTTAGCCCCCCTTTACCCTGTTCTTCAGTGGGCAAGACCCCCCAGGACCGCCAAAGAGCAGGTATTATTTGGGTGGTGGATAATTTTCAGCACTGCAGCGACACTGATGTGGTGGTGGCGTGTTAGTGTGTGTTGCGCTGGTCTGAGTCAATCAGACACAGGAGTGCTGCTGGAGTTTTTAAACACCTCAGTGTCATTAATGAACTGGGAACAGTCCATCAACCAAACTATTGGCTAACAGCGTCCTGTGGGCAGCGTCCTGTGACCACTGATGAAGGACTAGAGGATGATCAACACAAACTGCGCAGAGGCAGATGAGCTATCGTCTCTGACTTTACATCTACAAGGTGGACTGACAAGGTAGGAGTGTCTAATAGAGTGGACAGTGAGTGGACACAGTGTTTAAAAACTCCAGCAGCACTGCTGTGTCTGATCCACTCACACCAGCACCACACATACTAACACACCACCACCACATCAGTGTCACTACTTTGCTGAGAATGATCCACCACCATTATAGTACCTGCTCTGTAGTGGTCCTGACCACTGAAGAAGAGGATGAAAGAAGGCTAACAAAGTATGCAGAGAAACAGATGGACTACAGTCTGTAACTGCAGAACTACAAAGTGCACCTGTGTGGTAAGTAAAGCTGATAAAATGGACAATAAGTGTATAAACAAGGAGGTGTACTCAGTTAAGTGGCTGGTCAGTGTATGTTTAACATCTGCAGTAGCCATTCACTGGCTAATGGTTCCTTCGGTTTGTAGGCTAGTTCTGTGCCCTGATGTGGCCTAATATTGTTTTAAGACTTAAATGTTTTAATCAACGTAATTATCTTTCTCTCTCCATTTTGTTCAACCATTGAAGTAATCTCTCGCTAGCATGTGTAGCTTAATTATGGCCATCTCCAACCTCATATCAACAATCTGATTGGTCAACGTTCAGCTCATCTGCATAAAATTTGCACGGCAAGAGGGAGCAGAGACAGCAGTGTGCACATCAGCTGTGGTTGCTGGCTTGGTTATATGTGTGCAGTTGCATCTCTCTGAATAATTCAAATGAAAAAGAACAAAAATTAGCATGACATCACAGTGACTGTCACATATACTCTGTTAAAATTTTGGCACCCCCAATTTACAACACTTTTCCACATCCATGGCATGGGAAACATAGAAGTGGGTGTGGTCAATACTGCAGGTGTTTTTTATTACCTTATCTATGGTTTTAAAACAAAATATAATATATTTTTTTATTTGTTGAAAAAATAGATGTGAACTGAAATGTCATGTATTATGAGAGAGACCGAGGAGGGTTTGTCACTGTGTCTCTCCTCTGCAGCATGTGGGGAGACAGCACATGGACTCTGGAGAGATTCCCGAATTTGACTGGCTCTACTCAGCTCTGCTCTGGCTCCATCCTCTTATAACCACACACACCTGCTTATTCCACAGACCCATTAACTCACCTGTATATTGTTGCTGTCCAGAGAAAAACATATTTGTCTTTACAGCAAAAGGCAAAAACATTCTTAACTTTCAGTGCAAGTTTACGTAACAAGAATTTATTGGAAATCATTTTGGAGCATTCCTATTGATTCATTCATCATGACATTTCCACACAGTGTAAAGGACACCTGGTGTGTTCAAATGATGCAGAAAAATAAAAGGACAAAAATGGAGATAAATGTGTTTCTTTTGTTTTTGTTTTTGTTTTTGTTTTTTTTTTGACAGCGACAATGTACTCCTTTATTTGGTCTTGCTGCTTGCAAACCATTTATTATGTTGTACAGAGTGCTAGGCTGTGTTCTTTGTGCAGTGTTTTCCTGTGCTTGGCTCTTCTTTGTTTTTCGTTTTTTTGATAATAAATTAGCCTTGTGTATTTTGTACTTGCTGTGCCTGTATGTTTACTCCTGCCTTGATGACTTCGAGTGTTGTAAACTACTCTGCACATGCACCATGCCTACTAGCCTCTTAAGTTACAATGTTGTTTTTATCTCAGCCTCTACAAGTAGGTGGTTCTTTATGCTATACCTTTCAAACTTGTATGTGAAATAGGCATATTTGTCTGTCACAAATAAAATAGCATAGAAATCTACAGCTTACTCGAAACAGCAAACAACTTTGTGTCAAATACACAATTAAGTACCTGCAACACTTCTACTTTCCTTTCATTTTTAATAAACTCAACAAACAAAGCAAACAGAGTGAACACCCATACTGAACCTAGTCCATATGTGCATTCCAACTACGACCCCATTGCCAAAAAAGGTGGGATGCTGTGCAAAATGTAAATTATAATGGAATTACAGGCTAATCATTTCAACAATTTCACAGTTTCAACATTTGATATGTTGTCTTTGTACCATTTTTAATTAAACAAAGGTTGTAAATGATTTGGACATCATTGCGCTGTTTTTGTTTACATTTTGCACCGCATCCCAACTTTTCTTGGAAACAGGGTTGTAATTTTGATATCCAGGTATCTGCAAAAGTTAATGAACAGATATCTGGATAAAGGGAAAGGGAAAAAAAGGACTTTGGCTGAAATTAATGTACAGACGAGGCTTGCAGTAGTATAAAAATTGCAGAAAGCAAGGTGTACATTGGAAAAGATGTTTTCTTATCCGGAAAAACTCGAGGGAATTCAGTAGCTTTCATGTTGTTTGAGTAACAGAGGCTGTTTTTTCAGATACTGCTACAATGCTGGATGCTGATGAGTGTGTGTGTGTGTGTGTTGTCTTTACTCACGGTTGTCCCTCTGGTGTGTTTTCTGGTATGGATATTGTGTAAGAGGCGTTGGTGAACTGTGGAGCTCTGGGTCCTGCCACCACAGACACTATAGCAGGAGGGCTGCGGCTACCCAGGCGGTCAGCAGCCACAACAGTCAGCAAATATTCTCTGTCCCTCTGCAGAGGCAGGCCTGTGGTTCGCACATGACCAGTCTTCCTGTCCACGTCAAACCGCCCATCTCCTCCTAAAATGGATCACAGTGATTTACTGTTACCATTAAATATAGCAGTAATAACATTACATTAACATCTGTACCATGCATGTTACTTTATTAGTGGAGAGCTGTGACTATTAGAGCCAGGCCTTCATTTCAGGCCATTGAGGTCAAAACTATTCTAAAAAAAAAAACACCCAGTAGTATGTTATTGCTAAGCTAACAGCAATTAACATGAACATGTTTTTGAACATTTTATATTAAACATGGATATTTAATCTCTGTAAAAGACATACATGTTTTAATTAAGGCTCTTAATAGACAGATTAACGTATATTTTACCATGCCGCAGTTGAGTAAAGAGACCTGGCCTACAGGTGCTCATGTTTCCATTTCAAACATCTGTCTGAAAAGCAACATTCATGCACTGGGTGTATCTAGGATCTCTAAATGTTTTTTTTTCTTACAACATTTGATTTATTCTATTTTTACTTTCAAACTATATTGGTGGCTAATCTGAAGTGTTAGGTCATCATTCTGTCCACCTCTGGAAGTCCTAACCAATGGTAGAGCTCACTTGGCTTTATCTACCTAAACACCACAGAGAAACTATTCTGATTGAATATTTTCCACTGGGCTTTTCAAGAATGTAACCCTTTGTTTCCAACCAAAGTTTAAAAATGACGCAAGAGTATTATTGTTTAAAACATTCATATAAACATGCATGATGATTATATTAAATGAAAATGAACTAAAAGTTATAGACACGTACTTTTTTATTTTGAACCAAAACCAAAAAATGAGTACCGACAGTGTTGAGGAAAGTTTCAGTTTTTGGTAAAGTCATTGTTTTGTTTGCACTCCAAACAGCAGATGAGAAATGTACATTTAAAATGTACAAAATCTCATTTTTTGTACTAAGGTTTGCAAATAAATTGTTTACATTTTCAAACTAATTAGAGCTTTTATTCAGACTTAAGACAACATTAACACTTTTCATAAAATAATAACAATAAACATGAATCCAGACAAGTACACAAGTAACACATGCTGATTATAAAGCATCTTTCAACATTCTTAAGAGTTGTTAACTCAATGTTTTTTGCTACCACTTGTAATAAAAGAGGAAGGATGTGAGGGAAGAGAGACATTTAATAATATATAATAAGGTATAAGCTTTCTTTAGAAAATAATAAATGTGTTATCTTTTGTTTGAGAGCTGTTGATCTTAATCTCATTGTGAAATTAATTTTGAGATTGTAAGTCAAAAGTTTGAGAAAAAAGTCATTATTTCAACATAAAATTAAAATATAAAGAAAAGTCATTTAAGTCATGATGTCATAGTGTAGATAACTATTTGCAATTTTGAGAAAATAATTCATTATTTTGACATATATTATTATTTTGACATAGTAAGTGATTATTTTAAGAACATTTTTTCACATAATAATTACAAATACTGAGAAAATGTCTTTAATTCAATATACTGTATCATTATTTCAACATAGTAAGTCATTATAGTCACACAGAAATATTTTGAGAAAATAAGTCACTATCTCGACCTACAAGTCAGCATTTCTACAAATTAAGTCAAAATTATGAGAAATAAGTCATTATTTCAAGATACTAAAATACAAGTTTGACAGACTGCAACCGTAGCAGGAGAAAAAGGTGTTTTTTTCTTTCCACTACCTGGTGAGAAAGATTTTCCATAACACAAAAAAATAAAAATTTCTTACCATCAGACAGAAAGTATTCCACCTCTCCATTAATGCCCTCATCTCCATCTCTGGCTTGAAGTTTGTAGACGAGTGAGCCTGGAGGAGCATTAGGGGACACCACGGCCAGGTAAGGGAAGGGCACCATAGTCCATTCTGGTGCATTATCATTGACGTCCAAGACGGTCAGCTCCACTCTCACTATGTACCAGTCTGGACCTGCAACAAAAGATTACTCATCTCTAAGTGTTCAGAAATGGTTTCTATATTTAGTTGGCTACAGAAAATGAACGTTTATTATTCTTGTTATTATGTTTCCCTGCAGAAAAAGCACTTGGACGTCATGGGTGTATTCAACTGACTGGGGGAAAAAAGAGTTAGAATAACACACACATCAGCACAGCAGGGTGGACACACATGATTTACACACATTTCTCCCTATCCCAAAAGCAGTCGGTCAGCCAAGGCACGTTTGGTGTCAAAAGTTGGCTTCATTAGTTTTGTACTGGAGCTACACGGCTAATGTAACTAATGGAAGCCATTAATAATATGCCAAAGGGTACGTTCAAATTCCAGGCCTTTCTGCATAATTCTGATTTTTTCCTCAGATCAGATCTTTCGGCCTTGACAGTTCACATTAATGTGTTCACGTTAAAACCCATATCTGTCTTTAGCAGGAATGCACCTCTGCCCTGGAATGACCCACCAGTGCACACTGAAAACATGCCACAGATTAGATATACATCTGATCTAAGACCACACATGAATGTGGCTCAGGTCTGATTTTTGTAAAATCAGATTTTTGCATTCACTCAGCTCTGACAGTATCAGATCTGGGTGACATTATCATAGTTCTAATAATCGCTACCAAGCAAGTTCACTTTTTCAAAACTCTTCACACTTTTTTGTGGATACAAAACGTCTTTATGAGAAACTTCTTTAGCTTCATATACCAAACCTGAAGCAGGAAACCTGGTTGTGATCTCTGTTTTATCCCGCATGTAAACACAGTCACTAAAGTAGCTTGTAATCATTTGAGAAATATCGCTAAAGTTCAGCCTTTTCTATCTCAGAGCGATGCAGATAAACTTGTTCATCCATTTGTTACAAGCAGAGTTGATCACTGTAATGCTCTTCTTACTGGACTTCTAAGAAAACAAAGGATAGAAAGAAAGTTCTGCTGTTCTACTACCTTCTGTAAAATACAGGACAAGTGGAGAGACTCCACTGTGGAGAGACAGTTATTCTGCTTCCAAACTGTGGAACTTAATTCCACCTTCTATTAGACAGTCAAGCTTGGAGCTCACTTTTAAGAAGCATCTAAAAACTCTTTAACTTAGCATTTAATTAAAACTCTACATCTCAAGGTATTTATCTTTTAATTTAATCTGTCATTTTCTTATATGATTCAAAATTAATACTCATAATTTCTTGTATTACTGTTTTATCATCTGTCTGTAAAGCACAGATGATAAAACAGTAAAACAGCTGCCACTGGCACAAAAAGTGCTATATAAATAATTATAATTATTATCATCATTATACTGAAAAGACTTGTTAGCAATCTAAAAAACTAAATCATAGATTATAATCTGTATTCATTTCATTGGCTCTGTACCTGCATTCTGCACAATGACAGTGAAGTTGAGTCTAATCTAATCTAATATATACAAAGTCATTCATTAGACTGTTTTGAAACATTCTGCTCTAGAGACTTACAGAGTCAAAACTGTTCAAAGTGGTGGTGATAGGAACCAGAAGTCTGAAGTGTTAAACACCTCTAAAAGCTCAATCACACAAAGCTATTACACAAAATGGTTACAAATCCATGTCTGAGATATTGTTTTATGATAGTTTTTAGATGAGGTTTTGGCATAAACTGTATTTTTAAAAATTCATTCATGGGAGAGAGACATGCAGGGCATTGTAAGGCAAAATAATTCCTAAATAAAACCTTTAGATTTATTGTACAGTTATCCCTATTACACAGAAATACTCAGAAAATGCATATAGGTACACTGGCTGTTTTGCATATCAAATAAAATGGCCATTTTTGTGTTGGAGACATAATGGCTATTGGTTCCTATTGGTTCCAACACTATTTTTGTGCTGGAGACATCATGGCACTCTGGTTCCTAAAGAAATAACAGTCAGTAAGTTTCTCTACAGTTAACCATTTCACATCAGACCACCCTAAATGTCTGTGTTTACATCTCAATGATTAAATTATGCAGAAATTTTGAGAAGTCAGCAGAATTCTCCTTTAAGTAATTTCAGATAGACTTGATTATGTGCTTTCTGACGCTCCATGCTTCTTTGACGGACTATTAGTTGTGACTTCTACAGTACGCTGTGTAAATGTGTTGGAGAGTGAGCTGAATCTGAGCATTAGGCAGGTATAGGGATGTTAGCATAGAGAAGAATCCCCACTGTACTTGCTGTGTGTGTCTGCTGGATTGCCTCATCAGACATTTCCTCATTACAGCAAATCACCACTTTACAGAGGAAGACAACTGATGACAGGCTGAACACGCACTCTCTAATACACCTCACCCTCACTGAACTCTCTAATACGCCTCACCTTCACATTAACACGTGAAAAACAAGCATGCGTGTCAGCAGTGCAACAGACACAAAAACACTAAATCACAACAAAGACAACTTTCTTTCTTTCTTTCTTTCACTAATTTTGGCCTTCCTTTTTTACTTTCGTTTTCTGTCTAACCATATTTTATAGTTAGATATAACTAACTACATATCATATCACTGTATCACTGTTGTCAGACCAAAACTTTACAGGAGAAGGAAAAAACACACTTTTCTTTTAATGTAAGTCAATGGAACCAGAATTTTTTCCAAGTCATTTTGGGTCTTTTTTTGGTCCATTCATCATGAAAAAAACACAATGTAAAAACTGAAACTTGTATCTCATTTTTCAGTTTTTACTTTGTGTGCGTATATATATATATATATATATATATATATATATATATATATATATATATATATATATATATATTCTTTTTTCTCTTTTTTCCCCTTCTTTCTTTCTTCCATCAATTTATCTTTCTTTTTTCCCTCTGATCCCTTCTCTCTACTAATTATTCTTTCTTTCTTACTTTCTTTCTTTTTTACTCCCCTTTTTCCATGTAACCTTTCTTCTTTCTATCTGTCTCTCTCTCTGTATGTCTCTCTCCCTATATCACTCTTGCTCTCTCCCTCTCACGCTGTCGCTCCGTCCCTCTCTCACTCTCTAAGTCTCAGTCTCAGCCTCAGTCTCTCTCTCTCTCTGGTTGGTATAAATGACAGGCTGTCTGTCAGGTGTGAGTGTGTGTGTGTGAGTGACGGAGTCGGGGTCTCTTTGATTCTGGTGGTGATTGGCCCTTTCATTGGCGCTGACAGCAGCACACCTGCCACCTCACACTACTGACAGCAGAGGAGAGAGAGAGAGAGAGAGATAGAGAGAGATGGTAGCAGAGAGAGATGAACCTATGCAGAGAGTCTGCACAGATACAGTATCAATATCAAAGATAAAAGAGAATCACATATTAATGAACAAGAAAGTGAAGGAATGATTTGACAACAGCAGTGAGAGAGAGAGGGGCTTAAAATAGGATTGAGGCGAGGCCTTTGCTCACGACTTAAATTCTAAATGATTATTGATTGTTTTTTTTCGATGGCTGTTTGCACAGCAACAACGTCGTCTATGTGTCGTTTTTTGAACCTTTTTTTGTTCAACCACAATATAAACACTGTCTGACAATCTAAAGACAGCTCACCCTCAGATGATCATCAGATAAAATGGTTGCTGACAGGCTCATGGTGTTGGCCTTTGAACATAAAGAATTATGCAAATAAATCCACGAAGTGTGCGTCAACAGAGAACTATAAGAACACGATTTGGTGGGGAAGTGTTCAACAATCCAAACAGTCTTTCATGTATCACTGTCATCATCTGACAGATATCATACTAATTATTGTTCATTTTCTTGTTTGATTGTTTGATTCTTTTTGCACACCAGTCGGATTAAATTTTGTCATCTATTAAAGAAACGACTAAGAAAAAAGGCATTGAATTTGGAACAGGCCCTTAAGTGGTTCATGCACATCCTGTGAGGTCAGCTGTGGCCTTCAGAGGCAGCGATTAAAATCAAGATCATCACAGACTAACACTCTTCATTATGAAAGGCTGCACTCAAATAACACATCATTAAACTTTCAACAATTAACCTCCTTTAAAGGTGCTAAACCATCACACACATACATATTTACACACTTGTACTCACACAGGGATGTGGGAAGTGGGAGTGCTGAGGGGCTAAAGCACCTCCAGGATTCAGGGCTGCTTAACTACAGTAACTAATTAAAAAGTTACAACTGAAGTGTCTTAGTTGTTTTTTTAACCATATAACCTGTAAGTCTGGCTTGATGTGCATTAAAATACTGAATCTTTGATTATGGGCATGATACAGTTAGTTACAGTGCCACATACACTATATGGACAAAAGTATTGGGACATCTACACATTACACCTTCAGGAGCTTTTATGACGTTGCATCCTAAATCCATAGGCATTAATATAGTTTCAGCTTCCACTCTTCTGAGACATTTTCTACAAGATTTTGGAGTGTGTCTTTGGGAATTTCTGCTCATTCATCCGGAAGAGCATTTGTGAGGTCAGGCGCTGATGGTGAACGAGAGGGCCTGGCTTGCAATCTCCGCTGTAGTTCATCCCAAAGATGTTTGATGGGGTTGAGGTCAGGGCTCTGTGTGGACCAGTCAAGTTCTTCCACACCAAACTCACCCAGCCATGCCTTTCTGGACCTTGCTTTGAGCAATGGGGCACAGTCATGCTAGAACAGAAAGGGGCCTTCCCCAAACTGGTCCCACAAATTTGGAAGCATACATTCATCCAAAATGTCTGATTTCCCTTCACTGGAACTAAGAGGTCAAGGCCAACCCCTGAAAAACAACCCCATATCATTATCCCTCCTCCACCAAACTTTACAGTTGGCACAATGCAGTCAGGCATTTGTCAAACCCAGACTTATCCATCAGACTGCCAGATAGAGAAGTGTGATTTGTCACTCCACAGAATACGTTTCCACTGCTCCAGAGTCCCGTGGTGGCGTGCTTTACACCACTCCATGTGATGCTTGGCATTGTTCTTGGTAATGTAAGGTATGCATGTAGCTGCTCAGCCATAGAAACCCATGCGA